AAAGGTTATGTGACAGAAACAACTTCCTTTTCCATTTGTTTCAAAGTACAGTATTCTTAATCACAACTTTTCATGTTCTGTAATAATGCTTCCTGGTTGTTAGCACTTAACAATCCCCCCCCCCCCAAAATGTGAACGTTTGCACAGCAAAATTTTGTTTTATAAAAAATACACTAAGATTAAGAGAGTTGGAAAGGACCTTCTAGGTCATCTAGTACAACCCCCCTCAAGCAGGAGACCCTACACCATTTCTGACAAATGGCAGTCCAATCTCTTCTTAAAAGCCTCCAGGGATGAACTCCCACAACTTCTGAAGGAAACTTCTGTTCCATTGGTTGATTGTCCTCACTGTCAGAAAGTTCCTCCTTGTTACTAGGTTGAATCTCTCCTTGTTCAGTTTACATCCATTATTCCCTGTTTGGCCTTCAGATGCCTTGGAAAATAGCTTGATCCCTTCCTTCCCCTCAAATATTGGAACATGTCTCCCCTGGTCCTTCTTTTCACTAGACTAGACATGCACAGTTCCTGTAACCCTTCTTCATATGTTTTAGATGCCAGTCCCCTGGAGACAGTACCTTCATGGGTTATTCCATCAACTACTTGTGACATAGCTTAGAAAAGGAAGAAATATATAATTTATCTCTACAGCAACTTTGTATCTGATAATCTTTTATTTTGGGATGTTAATGCAGTCTTTTATGGAAACCCTGCTCCCAATCAAACCAAACCATGTTTACTTTGCATTTCGGTACTTATTGATAACCTTCTTAGGAGGAAACAAAACCACTTATTGCAGTCTTCTGGCAAACATTTACCCACTGGTTCAGGGTGGTCAATTTATCTAGTCCCCAAACCGCAGTCCTGAAAATGAGTGAAAAATAGAGATTCAAGAAGGAAGGGGAATGTGATCCTTCCCAAACACCATCTTTGTTTAACAAGGCCATCAATCACTGGCCTGGCCTGGAAACTGGAACGGGACATTCAATTGCATTTTCCAGGCCGTGCATCTTCAACAGCTGCAAGGACTTGAAAAACACAACAAAAATATGAAATAGGCTGTCTTTGTGCAAAAACATGATCGCATTTTCACACTCCAGATGTCTGTGGGGCAAGCTGGGACAGATGTAGGCTGAGCCTGCATCGGCAGGTTTCATTCCGAGTTGAAACTCCCAGTCCTGCAGGTGGCGTGCCTGCAGGTGGCGACAAATGCCCTTAAAGCTATGCGCTGTCCGTGGTCCTGAAACTCCCATGACTTGGAAGCAGACGAGGAGAACGTATCTTGCTGCCGCCGCTGCCAAACGCAAAGAATGTGGAGGGGGGGGGAGGCAAAGTGCCCATTCGTGGCCTTCTTTTCAAAGCGCCAAATTGTAGCTGGAGGGGGGGGGGAAGACACACCCGGGTTTTCTCTCTTCGTTGCAGCTTCACAAATCATTCATAAACCATTGCTCTCGCAGTTAATGTGTTACTTCTTTCGGCTGATCAAAATAGGGAATGCCGTCCCTACTTCTCTTGTCGAGCATACTTTCCCCCGATTTTTTTTTTCAGCTTGGCCTCTGGCCAAAGCTTAGCTCATTCTCCTTCCCAGCGACTGCACTACAGTCTGGGTAAGAAGGGAAGATGCAGCAACAGTGTAGCCAGTACCAAAGTGAAATGTGTTGGATAAGTGGAGGGAGAAAATCTAGTTTCATCTACTCTCTTACACACCCGGAGGTGTGGATTCCCACCTCTAGAATGAAGGTTGGGAGTATTGGGAGTCATGGTGCAATACCTGTGAAAGGTATCAGTTGAGGACGGTTGCCTTATTTTCTGGCGACTTAACTTTTGCTCTGAGGAATGACTTGCCTTCCTTTACACTGGTTGGAAGTTTGGGATAAGTGAAGGTAAAAGCGAGGGACTGAGTGCTAGAGACTCCAAACTCTGTTTCAGGTTTAGTTTCCCCTTCTGAATGGAGAGAGGGTCTCTTCCTTATTCTTTTCACCAGGCGTGCTCTTCCACATTCTACTGGTAAAAAAGGAACCATCGCCAGAAAGAAATACCTACTCACACGCAGAGGTGTGTGTGCTGGAGGAGCAGCCGGTGAGAGGATGTGGGGTGGAAACTGAAAAACAGACGAAGGGGGCAAAGTGGAGAAACATAAGAACCCGGGAGGATTTGGACCCGGGAGGATTTGGTAGTGAAGACCTGGGATTGAAAGGAAAGAAAGGAGAGAAAGAAACAAAACCACAACCCAATAGCAAGAGACGTGAGAATCCCAAAGACTGAAAGAGAAGGGAAGTCACCAACGGAGTGGCGGGTGGAGTGGGTGCTAGAGAGGAAAGGAGAATAGAAGGGAGAGGGGAGGGCAGAGCGAGAGGAGCCCGGAACAACCCGGGAGCGCTACAAAAGCGGGGGGCGCAGCTGCAGAGAGAGAGAGAGAGAGAGAGAGAGAGAGACGTCGGCGACAGCAGCAGCAGCAGCAGCAGCCGGGCTAAAGAACGGGAGCCGGAGCGAGAACGCCGGAGGGGAGGGAGGGGGCAGAAAGGGCAGAGAAAGAGAAAGGAGGCAAAAGAAGCGAAGGGGCATCTGAGAGAGGAGAAGATGCACCCGGACCAAGCCTCAGCCTCAGCCTGGACTGAAAGACCGACGGGAACTCGGGGTAAAAGAAAGCTGAGCAAGTGAGAGTTATTCGAGGAGAGCGAAGCTGCCGGCTGGAGGCAAAGAGAGTGCAAGTTGAGGAAGGGCGAAGCGGAATCCCGAGCAGCAAGTGGCTGCTGGCCGAAGAGAGAGAGAGGGGGGGGGGCACTCGGCGCCGTCGTCGGTCCCAGAGTACTCAGAGTGGGACGCGCCATGCAACCGGCTCGGCGCTGTCACTGTGACCGGCGCTGGCCCGAGAAGCCGGACGTCGCCAGCCCGGCCGCTACCTCGCTCTAGCTCATTGAAGGGACACACGTGATCCAGGCAGGCGGCCGCCCTTCGCCTGTCCCGTCGGGCGACCATGGTGACCCTCGGGAGGAGCTGCCCGCCGCTGCCGGAGCCGGAGTGAAGGCGCTGCCTTCTCGCCCGCCCCTCTCTCCATGGAGCTGTCCAACGGCACGCCGGCGCCCGGCTTCAGCGAGCCGACCGGGTCCCCAACCCCGCCGCCCTCGGGGTCCCCGGTGGCCAACCTGGGCTACCAGCTGGCCACGTCTGTAGTGCTGGGCGCGCTGATTCTCTTTGCCGTCTTGGGCAATGCGTGCGTGATCGCGGCCATCGCCCTGGAGCGGTCCCTGCAGACGGTGGCCAACTACCTGATCGGCTCGCTGGCCGTCACCGACCTGATGGTGTCGGTGCTGGTGCTGCCCATGGCCGCCCTCTACCAAGTGCTGGGCAAGTGGACGCTGGGCCAGGCGTTGTGCGACCTCTTCATCGCGCTCGACGTGCTGTGCTGCACCTCGTCCATCCTGCACCTGTGCGCCATCGCCCTGGACCGCTACTGGGCTATCACCGACCCTATCGACTACGTCAACAAGCGGACGCCCCGCCGGGCCGCCGCCCTCATCAGCCTCACCTGGCTGATCGGTTTCCTCATCTCCATCCCGCCCATGCTGGGCTGGCGGACGCCCGAGGACCGCTCCGACCCCAACGCCTGCACCATCAGCAAGGACCCGGGCTACACCATCTACTCCACCTTCGGCGCCTTCTACATTCCCTTGTTGCTCATGCTGGTCCTCTACGGGCGCATCTTCAAAGCGGCCCGCTTCCGCATCCGCAAGACGGTCCGCAAAGCCGACAAGAAGCAGCCGCCGTTGTCGCCCGCAGCGCCGGTGGGAAAGGTGGCCGACACTTGCCTTGCCCACTCGCCGGCCAGACGCACCAACGGCGGTCCCCAGCAGGAGCAGCGGCGGCCGCAGCAGCAGCAGGCATCGGCCAAGGCCAGGAGGAGCGTGGCGGAAGCCAAGGGGGCGCCCTGCGTCAACGGGGCTCTCCGGCCGGGCGAAGGCGGCTGGGTCGCCGGCTCGGCCCTGGAGTTACGAGAAGTGACGCCGTCCAACTCGGCCAAGAGCCTCATGCTGCCCCTGCCCAACCACCCTCTCCCCGACGCCGCCTCGCCGGCCCCCGAGCGCAAGAACGAAGCCAATAGCGCCGAGGCCAAGCGCAAGATGGCCCTGGCCCGCGAACGGAAGACGGTCAAGACTCTGGGCATCATCATGGGCACCTTCATCCTCTGCTGGCTGCCCTTCTTCATCGTGGCGCTGGTGCTGCCCTTCTGCGAGGTCCGCTGTCCCATGCCGGCCTGGCTGGGCGCCGTCATCAACTGGCTGGGCTACTCCAACTCGCTGCTCAACCCGGTCATCTACGCCTACTTCAACAAGGATTTCCAAAGTGCTTTCAAGAAGATCGTCAGGTGCAAGTTCTGCCTGCCCTGAGACGGGACGGACGGCGGCTGAGTTTGCCGGGAAGGCGGCGCCGGGCTAGGGTCGCTGCCGCGCCACTTCGCCTCCTTCGGCTCCGCGGACATGGGCGAGCCCGAGCTTATTTCGTTGGCGGAAACTTCTTGCCCTCCTTCTGCGGGACCGGAATTTCTCGTTTTCCCGGGACCCCCTTGGCTTGGGGGTGGGTGGGAAGAGGGGGGGGGGAGAGCGTCATTGGGGATCGCCGCATGGCTGGAGGCTCCTGGCGGCCTTGGGGATCAGAACACAAGCAAGGCTTGTGACCCTGCGCTCTTTTTGTTTTTGCTCTCCGTCCTCTTCCTTTCCGAACTTCTCCAGCAAAGACCGCTCTGGAAGGTAGGACCGTGCGGTGGAAAGGCTGACTGTCCCTTTGATTTGTCTGTGTCTGTTCGTCCGTCCGTCCCGATCTCGACTCCTTCTCGGAGTTTACTTCTTCTTACTCCAGGATTGTGAATCTGACTCTGGAGACCGGGAAAAANAGGTGACGAGAGCATGAGTGACCATTTGAAGTGCCTCCCGGTCCAGAGGGGTTTCTTTTTCAGTTGTAGCTTCTGCATCCTTGGCATGTTTCTTGTTATTTTCGTGTTTCAGATATCTGTTGCAGTATCAGGAGCCAATTCCTTGCGAGCAGTTAGTAACAGCCCTCTGTGATATCAAACAAGCCTATACACAGTTTGGAGGTAACTTTTTGTAATTTGTCAGATGGAAGTTAAGTGTGGCAGAAATGTTTGGCTCATGGAAGGAACACCTGTCATATTCCTGTGGTGTGTTGAAGGATGCTTTATTGGCTCTAGAAAGCTAACAAGGTATGACAGACAGACTTCATCCGTCTGATGAAGTTAAATCCCTTCAGGGAACAGATTTCATTTCTTCTAGGTCTGCCATAAAAGTCTGTTTGAAAGTTTAAAAAAAAACACACGGCTTATTTTAAGTTTTGCTTTCTTTTTATAAAGTTGATTCACAGATTTGGGTACAGTTAGTCTCTGAATAAATAAACCACCCTCCTCCTCATCTGTGCAGGTAGTTCTCGATTTACAGCTATAATTCCGCCCAACATTTCTGCTGTTTTGTGAGTTTTGCCCCGTTTTACGACCTTCCTTGCCACATTTGTTAAGTGAATCACTGCAGCTGTTTAAATTAGCTGTTAAACGGTTGTTAAATGAATCTGGCTTCCCCCTTAGTCACAAAAGGTGACCAGATGACCCCAGGACTCTGCAACGGTCATAAAGTCACTTTTTTCAGTGCTGTGGTAACTTGGAACCGTCACTAAACAGACTGTTGTAAATTATGGACTACCTGCAGTATAATTTTACACTTGGAAAGAGTATGATAGAATTTATCTCATGGAGCAGTTCTTGGCAGTGTTTTTCCCTTGGTGAATTGCATCGCTTCATTTAAATCACCCTTATGCTTAACAGGAAAACGTCCTTTTGGTGTTTCGCTGCTTTACATTGGCTGGGATAAACATTACGGTTTCCAATTGTATCAGAGCGATCCAAGCGGGAATTACGGCGGTTGGAAAGCCACCTGCATTGGAAACAACAGTGCTGTAAGTTTGTTTATTTACCTGTGCGTCCACCTAGCCAATTTTGAAAACCCCCCCATCTCCCACAAAGGGATGTTACGGCCTTGGGTGCCCATGTTTTCTCCTGCATGTTTGAAGGCTTGGAGAATTCTTGAAAAAGGCATTCTGCAGGAATAAACTCTGATCTTAGCAGGTAGAAAAATAATCCCGTGGAAGGGGGGAAACCCTTATCTCTGCAAAGGAACCTTGGAAAGTATTCAGAAACTTCAACTATGTAGTGAAAAACACAGCAGCTAAGACTATTAAGGGCAGGGATTAGGGGTCCTGTAGATCCATATTGTTTTAACAGGGTGGATTCAGGAATTTTTCAACTAGGAATGTCTTTCAAAGAGAAGTCCATTAACTATGGGTGTGAAGTAAAGCCAATATTCTTTCGCTGAGTCCTCGGTCATTTCTAGTGGAATTTAATATTGCTGTGGCTTGCTCTATAGAATTCTTCATTCTTTCTATATTCTTGGGTTGGTTTTATTTTTAACTGATCGTTTGGGGAATCCTCATTGATAATTAAGAGATTTATGGTCATTTTGATGAATGGAAATATTGTACGTGTAGTTTGGGCGTTTTTTAAAACTTTTAAAACTTTTGTAATGTGTTTTTTTTTAATGTTGTATGCCGCCCTAAGTCCTTGGGAGAAGGGCGGCATATAAATCCAATAAACCAAACCAAACAGGCTATTTTAATGTAATTTTAGCTTTGTAAGTTGCCCAGAGTCCCTTGGCTAAAATGGGCAGTTTTAAAAATTGAATGAATAAATGCACGAATGAATGAATGAATCGGCAAGAATCAACTTTTCTGTTCTTTAACAGGCAGCTGTGTCAATGCTCAAACAAGATTACAAAGAGGGAGAAATGACTTTGCAATCCGCACTTGCTTTAGCTGTCAAAGTCCTGAATAAAACTATGGACGTTAGTAAATTGTCAGCGGAGAAAGGTAAGCCTTGGCTCTGATGTGAGATCTTGGATATGGGTTTGGATTTCCTTAGAGAGGTGCTGTTCCAGTTGTCAAGAGTGTTGCTAGCTCCTGGTTTATTGCACTTATTTAAAAAGCCTGTTGGATTTTAGGATGATGTAGTTAAAACAGTCCTGTCACCTCGAGTCTTTGGTAGTTAGGGGTTTTGGATTGTCTTGAGTTAGATTTCGAGATGCTGATTGTGTGTTTCTATCTTCCTTAAATCAGCCTGTTGACTTCAGTAGGCAATTGAATTGTTTTATAAGAAGAAAAATAATAGCTTTCAGTGATCTATTTGCTCTATAAAGCTCTTGAAATCTTCAAATGGGACATGGTAGAAAAGTTTGCAATAAATCTTTTGGGCTATATCACCTCTCATAATGCCCAAAATAGTTTTCTGCAATATTCTGGGTGCTGTGAAAAATTGCTTTAAATTGTCAATTGGAAAACTAGAACAAAAATATAAGTTTGATAAGTTCTCTGAGGCCCACTTGGTTGTTATATTTTTTGATTCAGTCAGACAATTCAGACATTAAAAGTTCCTTCCTCCCTCCCTCTTCCTTTCTTCCTACCTTCCTACCCTCTCTGTCTCCTTCCTTCCCATTTTCTTTTCCATGTCTTATCTTTCAGTTGAAATTGCAACCCTGACGCGAGAGAATGGAAAGACGATAATAAGAGTTTTGAAACAAAAAGAAGTGGAAGTATTGATAAAGAAACACGAAGAAGAAGAAGCCAAAGCAGAGCGTGAAAAGAAAGAAAAGGAGCAGAAAGAAAAGGATAAATAAATCAAGTACCTCGAAGAAGGAGCTGTTTCCGTAAACTGGCCCAATTTTTGAAGGGCTGTTTATTGAATCCGTTCCTTTATATCACTGAAAGACATCACCTCTTTCCTCAATGAACAGAAATCTCTTTGTCATTGTATCTTTCTTTTATATTCCATAATAAAGTGGACAGTATTGTCACAGTACTATGTCCAAGTATAGTTACTTCTTCCTCGTCCGCATTTCCTTTGGGACTGTCTTGCTGAAACCATAGGATCAGAAATGTTTCTAGCAGATCTCGCTGATAGAAACATTTTCGTGTTTTCTTTTATCTCGTTATTGTACTAAACTTGGGGGTGCTGAGCGAAAATGAGGATTTTACACTTAGAAATGGGCACAGCGGCTTACGCAGTTTTCAGTCATTGCCGGAATATTTTTAATTACAGGGTTCGGCTTGCTTACATGCAAAAAAAAAGAGGGGGGGGGGGGAAACCCTTTGTGAAATAATACAATTTAGCACTTTGCCAACAGTTTTTGGAGGCAGCTGCTGCACAACTGCAGCCCGTGTCTGGATTGATAACAAGACGGTGTCCTGGGAAATCAGTGCTTAACTGTTTTTATCAATTTTTCAAATGCTTTTGGCAGCGCGTAACTCAACATTATGTTGGTTAAAACGTTGGATTTTACCAGGCTGAAAAGTGGGGGAAAGGCCGTAATTGGAACCATAATTTCATTGCTAAGCAAAGTGGCCGTTAAAGTGAGTCCTGTCCAGTTCGACAACTTTTTTTTTTTTTTTTGCTATGGTCCCTAAGTACAGTTGTTAAGCACATGGTCATTAAGTGAGTCCATTGACTCTGCTTATCCA